TTTTGAGCTGAGCTGGTTGGAACTAGTTCTTTTGCGAGACTTCTAACACTCCATAAATTAAAGTTTGTGTCCAAAAGTAATAGAGAACTTAGTATGTTGTATAACTTGATGTATGTACACTTGTTGCATGTAGCATAGAGAGAAAAAATTATTACCATTTTAAAGTGTCTAGGAAATCTGTCAGTTCTAATTTCTTTTGTCTTTGGAGTATTCATGGAATAAAGGACCCCTTACTGACATAACAATGTGGAAATTCAATTTGCAATTCTGGTGACAACATGTGGGTATTTCAGGTAGCCATAAACTTATGGAAAAATTATCTCAGTGCCTCAGTTAAACTGATTCCAAGAAGAGTTTCCCCCAATGGAAAAGCAAAAAATGAGAATTTCAGAGCAAAAGTGATCGTTGCATTTTTTTCCCCCAGCGCATGCATGTGCTAGTAATAGAAAGTGCAGTTTGGGAAAGGATATCCAAGCTAGAGGGTTGGAGTCACTCATTTTCCAACCATAAGCTTGTGCCATCTTTAGTCTGGCATCCATCCCATTTATGATGAGAGTGTGTAGGAAGTGTGACACAGCAGGCTGCCCTGGCTTTGGCACTGTTGACTTGTTTTTTGGAGAAGCAGGTGGGAGCTTAGCTGTCCTGTGTGTGATAGGATATTTAGCAGCATCTTTACTAGATGCCAATGATAACCACCACTGTCTCCAGACATTGCTAAATATCCTGGGTGGTGGTAGGGGCAAAATGACCTCTGGGCAAGAACAACTGAACCACCATCACAGTTTGTTGTCCCATAGAAACGGGTTCAGTAACAGCACTAAAGCAGGAGAACATACAGGAGTAAATCTGAAACAGAAATCAAATCAAATTTACCTGCATACAGGTAACTGAATAAAAATTATAAAGTACCAAAGAGGATTATTCAGGAAAGAAAAAATGGAAAAGGAAAAGTCACAACTATGTTGCTTTTTCATTAGGTAATTGAGCTTTTTGATGTGTTGGAGGTGTATTGGTGGCTCGTTTCCTTACTAATGAAGATGCTGGCACACAGATGATCGCTCACATGCTGCACAGTGACTGTCAAATGAGAAGACATGAAGGCCATTCATAAGTCCTGTGATGCATGTGTTTCCATGCAGGGTGCCAGGTGGCGGTGTGTGTAATGCGGTAGAGTGCTCTGCCCCCAGCAGCAGAGGGGCCTAGACACCGCCATGGACTCCAGATCCTTATCTCAAGGTGACTTGTCCGGGGCTTATGGGGCCAAAAGGGGGTCACGGCATATTGTCCCTAAAGTTACCCTCATAGTTCTAGAATTTTATGAACTCATATTTTAAAAGGCATCTCTAGGAAGGGCTATTATTCCTGCTTTTCTTTTTAAGTTTGCAGATTGGTGACAACTTTAAAGCCTGAGTCCTAATGGCCACTGGGCTTCTTCTATGTGTACATACAAGTAGGTCGAACAGGTGGTAAAATAATTTAACATAGATACCATGTGTGCCTGGAAGTAGTGTTTTTGTGGTGTAATGTTTTTATGATTGCCGCTGTCCTTGTTTCTATTTATTTTTTACACAGAAGTCTGGGTGCCCTGTTGGGTCATCAGGGACAGTCAGCTGCCTGTTTTTCACCGTCTTTCTGTGCCCAGAGCACTGTTTCCTGTGCAGGTTACTAACAGGATCTGACCACGTGCTCAGTCCTTTCCCAGCTCAGATCCCCTGACCCTCCTTTTCTGGGCTGATTATGGGTTTTGAAGTCTGAATCAAGCTGTGCTACAGAACCATCTAATGACTTCTGTGCTTTCACAGTAAGAGTCAGTCAGCACTTCCTGTTTTCATTCATGTTGTAAATTGAATAGCTGTAACAGAAAGAATAGGGATTGCCAAGACAAATAATTGTTGTGGCTTGTGCAAACATTTTATTTCAAGTCTCATTAAATATGCAGCTTTCAGGAGTTTACATGCTTTTCAGGAAAGCTCAATCATAATAAGAACATGGACTTGCTGCATGATTCAAGAACAGGTCTATATTAAATTTGGCATTACATAATTCATTAGTCTGTATCTCTTAAAATTTATTCAGAGCAGCAAATATGATAAGAGAACCAGTTGTTTATGTTGGGTCACGAGGAAAGCTGAGCTTATAGATTTTATATGTTGGCAAGGGAAGTTCCCGAGAAATGGCGCCTGCAGCAAGAGTGCCTGGTCCCCATCTCCTAGGGTGGGTCTTCATCCCACAGCCCCTACCCACGGAACTGCAGTGTCTGTTCCCAAGTTCATCCTTATTGGTGAGGCCTTCTTAAAGTGGTTCTTTGTTTTATAAATACTGACTCTGCATCAGCCTCCCTTTCCCAGCATGTTTTTCTTGGCGGCCTGATATTTGAAAACAAGATAAAAGTGATTACATGCACTGTTTCAGAACAGCTTTCAAAGTATGAGAATTTGGCACTTTCTTCTGTTTTTTGCGCATTATTTGCTCCTATATTTCCTTTACATTCAGCAGATAGAATCCCAGGACCTTTATAACCACATCCTGTTTCCTTCCCCTCACTGAAGTTCTCTTCATGACCACTTTTTTGTTTGTTTGTTTGTTTGTCTCTTAAAATATTAAGTTAACCTTAGCTACCCTGTGTTGACTTTTGAGATGGTTACATCATCACATATGGCATTATACCTTTTATTAAAATTATTTGGGTACTATAATTTAAAAAGAGGAGTACAAGAGGACTAAGATGTGTTTTTTATTCTATTTAATTTTATTTTGTATATCTATCTATTGAATTGTTAGCCTTTGCTTTATATTGTCATTGGCTCCTGACTCCCACTGTGTTAACTCATGAACTTGTGTGTGCTCAGGACTGTTAGGTACTGGAGAGGCAAAGGTGAACCAAGTGTGCTTCCTTCCCTCCTGGTCTAAGTGGGATTCCAGTCTTAAGTGGGATGCTGTGTGCACATGGCAGAATTCAACAGATGCTTAAGAACTAAATCTGCTTTCTAGCAAGTGGGAGAATTGTATTTTTAGTACTAATGGTGCCAACCATCTTTGTGAGTGCTCACTGGGCACCAGAAGACAGCAATGTGGTACTTTGCATGGGTTCAACAGCTCACCAGAGTTGCCAGCTGGGGCCGACTCAGGCTCCTGTCTGTGAAACCTCCAAGGCCACCTTGTGCAACCCACCCTCACCCCTGCCTCCCAAGATTGCCCATCCTTCCTTCTGGCTCTCTGTGCTGAGGGCCCATGCTGTACTGACTTTGACAGAGCCAACTCACTGCTTCCTCTTCTGGTATCCATGGTGCCACCAATGTGAGAAAGTTCACGTTTGCTCTCCCAGGGCCACCACTGGGGTTCAGATTGTCACTTCTCTAGTTTGACCACTGTTAACACAATCACAAGAATTGTTCCAAATACTGTATAAAAAGAAGCACCTTTTACTTCTTCACATTGTTCTGCTATAAGTTTCTTTAAAGAAAATATAACAAAGGATAAAATGGCTTTATAGCTACATTCATTCCAAATTGAATATTTTTAAAAGAAATATCTTCTAATTTGTCAAAAGATATCAGTCGTCATAAGAATGTTTTATATTCTCTGGACTCATAAACTCACCCTCACAAATTTATTCCAGGAATTTACTTTTGAAGGAGATTAAAGCTCATATGCACAAATATTTTCAATTGTGCGTTGTTTGTACTGGAAACAACCCAAATGTTCAATAATGGGGGAACAATTTTGTACATCTTGGTGAATCAATTTAACAAAATTATAAGCTGCCATTTATACCCATAAATTCTAAAAGTTTGTAGTATAACCAACAAAATGATAATTTTAAAGTAATGGAAGAGACTATAAAATCTTATCTATTCTATGAAAATTATATAGAAATATGAAGTTCAAAAAGGAAACAGTCAAGAGTCAGATGTATCTAGAGATTGAAATTATATGTGAAATGTTATTTTTTCTTTAATTCTTGTTAAAATCTATCTTCATTAAATGCTAGGGATAAATATCTTCATTTGTTCACATTTTAAATGGTTTGATTTTTACCATGGTAAATGTTTTTAGTGCCAATTCCTTTCTGTGTCATAAATTAGGCCTTGCTTGTACTGTCAGTATCCTATTCCATAAATATTTACGTTTTATTACATCAGTATTATTCCTTTCCTAGACTATTGCGTTTCCCAAATTGTTATGAACATTCATCACACCGAAGGGTCTTATAAAATGCTGATTTGAACTCAGTAGGTCTCATGGGGACCCCAGATTCCATGATCCTGGAAAACTACCAGATGCTTCTGCCCTTGGTCTCCTCGGTCACACACTGGGTAGCAGGGCGCCAGAGCTCTCCTTTGGGTGTGAAGAAGGCTCCTGCCCAGTGGCTAGCATTGTCTGGGGAAGCACTGTCGATACTCTGTCTGCCTCCTCCTCACGCACCACAGTTCAGTGAAGGGGGGCGGGGGGGCTCAGGGCACCTCAGAGTTTCTGAGTATCCTCAGAGATTCTGCGCCCAGTCTCATGATCAGCATCTGTTAGCCACACAACTGACTTGAACTTTGTTAATCAACAGAAATGACCAGGTAGCACTTAAATAAATGGTTCTGAATCTGTTATAAAGAGTAAGAAGGAATCTTGCATATAATCATGGTATCATTGTCCTTTTGTACAACTTGGAACCTGATTTAAAAGTTAAAACTCCCACATGTGTTAAGAAAGGCTTTGTTATGAGTTACAGCACTGGGGGAAAAATCTTGGCTTTAGAAATGAATCGTTGTAGGGCTGGCCTTGTGAACCAGGGTAGAGGGGTCATATCATAAGTCCAGCATTCTCCATGGCAGTGGGAAAGTCGTAGTATCTGTGCACTGTGGAAGTGTGATGGCTGTATCATCCAGAAGTGCTGACGAATTTAAGCTGTCCTGAGCTTGAACCATTACTAATCCTTGCTAATAATTGCTACAACCTATGATTGTTTTTAGAAGGTAATAGTGCATTTCCAACTTGTTTCCCCGCAGTGACTGAAGCTGGCTTTGGGGCCGACATTGGGATGGAGAAATTCTTCAACATCAAGTGCCGAGCCTCCGGCCTGGTGCCCAACGTGGTGGTGCTGGTGGCTACTGTCCGAGCTCTGAAGATGCACGGAGGTGGACCAAGTGTAAGTCCCACACTTCCTTCTGAGTGCCAAAAAGATAAAACAGAATTTAGTATTCGTGCCTGCCCAACAGCTCTGATTTTCTGGAGTGTCTTCTTTCTTTCTTTTCTTTTCTTTTTTTCTTTTAAATTCTTTTATTGGTACATTTTAGGTATACAGTACATTTACACTTATCACTGGGTGCTTGTACCTGAACATGATGTATCTTAGTTCTTATTTTTTCCCCCATTACGTGTGCATCCTTCACCCCCTCCTCCCTTCCCTATTTACATACTTCGTTTCCATTTTTTTTCTTTTCTCATAATTTTTTCTTTCCCTTCTTTCCTTTCCCCTTCCCCTCCCACCACCCCTACACCTTTGGACCTTTGGACCTTTTCCTATTTCAAATTATCAATTATTCATTTTAATCATTTTAATCCTTATTTACACTTTCAGTTTCTCACACTAGAGAAACTATTCGGCATTTACACATGTGTGTCCTATTTATTTCACTTAAGAGTATGGCCTCGATATGCATCCATTTAGCTATAAATGTCTCTAGTTTCTTGTTCTTTATGGCTGAGTAGTACTCCATTTTATAAAAAACACCCACATCTTCTTTATCCAGTCTCCAGTTGATGGGCACTTGGGCTGTTTCCAAGCTTTAGCTATTACAAACTGTGCCACTATAAACATAGGTGCACATACATTGCTGTGGTATGATTCTTTTAATTCTTTGGGTAAGATACCCATCAGGGGAATAGCTGGGTCAAATGGGACCTCTAGTCCTAGTTTTTTGTGGTATCTCCATACTGATTTCCACAGTGGTTGCACCAGTCTACACTCCCACCAACAATGGAGAAGGGTTCCTTTCTCCCCACAACCCCGCCACCATTTGTTATTGGTTGATTTCTTGATAGCAGCCATTCTTTGTGGGGTGAGGTGGAATCTCAGTGTTGTTTTCATCTGCATCTCTCAAATGACCAGTGATGTTGAACATTTTTCATGTGTTTATTTGCTGCTTTTACTTCTTTGTCTGAGAAATGTCTGTTCATTTCAGATGCCCATTTTTAAATTGGGTCTTTGAATTTGAGGGGTCTGGTTTTTTTCAGTTCTTTATATATTCTAGATAGTAGACTTTTGTCTGGGGTACAGCTGCTAAAAATTTTTTCCCACGTTGTAGGTTGTCTCTTAGCTCTGTTGGTGGTTTCTCTTGCAGTGCAGAAGCTTTTTAATAAGATGAGACCCCAGTTGTTGACTCTTTCTGCTAGTTCCTGTGCTGCTGAGGTTTTATTTGGACTGTCTTCTTTCTGTAACATGTTTTCACACATTGCCACCTTAGGGCACTTGGAGTTAACTGAAGGAAGCAGCAACACCCACCATGTGAGTTCTAAGCCACATTTCCAAAGGAGCATTGTGTAACCTTTTAGTCTTAAGATCCATCCCTGATACTCAGGCCAAGGTTCGAAAACCACACAGTGATAGGAAGAAGGAGGCTCTTGTTCCTAATTGAAGAACATGAGGGTCAGAGTGATGCCTTTGATGCTGGAGCTTTTCATTTTTGTACAGATAGTTTTTTGGTTCACTGATGTTACAACTCATCAGATTTCATCTAAAACCACTCTCCTTCTGTTTCTGTTTATTATGACTTCACCTCGTGACTCTCTCACAGCAATTGGATTGCTTCTATCTGGAAAACAGATTTAATTGAAAATTTTTGAAGACTTTTAATTCTCACTTATCTTAATATGTGCAGAATTTACAGACAGAAGAGTTGTATGTGGAGGTTTGGTTGGGGTTTTTGGGGGTTTTTTTTTTCCTATTTTAAGTAGTAGTTCCCAGGTAGGGGGGAAATTTTATATTAGTTAATCTCATTGAGATAAAATAATTGGAAGTTTTTTTATCATTGTAATATTGATATGTAAGATAAACTGCTAAGCCCTACTTCTTCATTGGTACGCTGTGTGCACAAAAGTCATTTAATCAATGACTGCACGTAGTGAACACAGCAGACTGCTGTCTGGAGCATTGTGCTATGATGTTTGGTCGTCTTAGCAAGCCTTCATCCTGAGAGAGGTAGGCTTTATTTTTATCCCATTTGACAGATGAGGAAACTGAGGTCTGATGAGTTCAGGGAATGTGGGCAGCAGCATCAGGCCAGTAGAAAGCCAGGTCTCAAGCCAAGCTGTTATATTTAAACCCCTTCTCCATCTGCCATACAGTGGTGACTTTAAATGAAGGGGGAAAAAATGGTCAAAATCCTAATCCACTGCTACTACCAGACCTTCAAGCCCTTCATTTTTGCCTAAAGTTTCATCGTCTCAAATGCAACATTGGTATAATACATGCAGTAAAATCCTGAAAAAAAAGCCAGGCGTGGTGCCTGTAATCCCAGCGCTTGGGAGGCTGAGGCAGGAGGATTCCCATGAGTTTGAGGCCAGCCTGGGCTACATAGTGAGTTCAAGCCCAGCCCTGTTTCAAGAAAAAAAAAAATTTTTTTTTAAATCTTGGCTCGCAGTTTTGGAAGGTTCAGCCAGTGATCACTCAACCCCATTACTCTTATGCTTATGCGGAGACACCACATCGTGGCAGGAGCACACAAAGGAGTAAAACCACTTACTTCATGGCCAGGAAGAGAAAGAAACGAGTGTCCCATAATCCTCTTTAAGGACGTCCCCCAGTAACCTAAAGACTTTGCACTGTGCTCCTCCTCTTAAAAGTTCTACTACCTCACAGGGCAGGGTGCTACTTTGATACATGCCTGTAATCCTAGCTTTCTTTTTCCTTATTTTTTGGTTTTTTGAGACAGGGTCTCGCTATGTAATAATGCAGGCTGGCCTTGAGCTCACTATGTACCCCATACTGGCCTCAGACTCTTGGCAATCCTCCTGCCTCAGCCTCCCAGGTGCTAAGATTACAGACATGCACCACCATGCCTGGGTGATTGTAGCATTCTGAGGCTGAAGCAGTAGCACCACCCTGGGGAGCAAGTCTGTCACAGGCATTTGGGGGATACTTAAGATCCAAACTATGTCATGGGTGGGGGATAATAAAAAAGGAGGATAGAGAAGTCTGGCAAAGCTAAGCCTCCCTGCCCTGGGCCCCAGGGACACCTTTTGCCTCATATTGTCTAATCTTTGTGTGTGTGTCCTGCTCAAATTCCAAATTCCTTGAGAGTAGTGACCATGTCTTGATAGTTGGCATCCCCGTAGTGGCTGGCATACTTTTAACTGGGAAGCATTTCCAATAATTGAATAATAAATGAACTTTTATCTTCTTAATCCTGTATTCCATATTACCCACCCTAGTGTCTTCTCGTGTGAACAACGCTGTGGTGATATTCTTGATCCATTGTAATTTCTGCTTCCTCCTGATACCATTACACAGATAACCATGGATGCCTCTTATGTTTATTCAGCGTGGCTTTTTTTTCATAACTTGTACAGTAGAAAATCCTGTGACCCTTGATTTTAGCCTCAATCATTCTAAATTCATATTCTGTCTTCAAAAGTGCCCTCAATTCTTTGTACAGCTAATACTGTTATATTTTAGATCCACTGATCCCTTTTACAATATAATATTAATCAAGGGTCTCAGAAAAAATGGAAACAATAAGGTGCATGTGTGTATATACATCGAAAGATGTTTACTATAAGGAATTGAGTCACTGATTAGAACATCTAGTAGGTCCAAAATTTGCAAATTCCTAGAATAAACCCTGCTTGTTTATATATTACCTTTTATGTGAATAACTAGATTTTGCTAATTGGCTTCCTAATGTGTGGGGTAAGATTTTAAACTATGAGGGAAATGTTGGCTATACCAATAAAGAATTGGGGAGGATCCCTGCCACACATGGTGTAAGAGCTTGTGTAACATCAGAGTAATTTTTTTATTCAAAGTTAGGTAGAACTTACCTGTGAAACTATCTGGGCCTCTTGCTTATTGGTGAGGGATAGATTTTTTTTAACTGCTCATCTAGTTTTTTAATGAATAGGGGACTATTTATATTAAGATTTTTTTATTCTTTTTTTTTGGTACCGGGGATCGAACTCGGGTCCTTATGCGTGCGCAGCAGGCGGCAAAACCACTGAACTAAATCCCTGGCCCTATATATTACAATTTTTGTTGTTGTTATTATTGTTGTTTTTGTAGCCCAGGCTGGCCTTGAATTTGAGACAGTCCTCCTGCCTCAGCCTTCAAGTGCTGGGACTACAGGCATGCACCACCACAGCTGTCCACAGCACACATATTTATAATCTTTTTCATTTAAAAAAAAAAATCTCATCAGAGATTTACCAATTTTGTTAGTCTTTTAAGAATCATCTTTTGGCTTGTTGACCTTCTCTACTTTTGGCATTTGTTTATATGCTATTCTTCCTGCTTAAGTTCCTACACATTAAGAAACAATTTTCTGTCACAGAAATAATTTCTTTTTGTAGTATTTCTAATATTTTCAAGGCCTCTTGACTGAGAGGAGAAAGTCATTGCTGTCCTGCGTTAATCAAAATGTTCTCCAGTGTTTCTCACGAAAACCAGCAGCGAGCTGTCGACCAAAGCCATGGGGAACGGTGGACAGCTGCTAAGTTGGGGTTTCAGAACTCTGTCTTATTCATGTCCTGCCACTCAGTTGCCTCACAGAGAGAGGGGGATGGGGACTTCATTAGAGTTCTCCAAGTCCTCAGCTTCTGCATCTTTAAACTACCAACCACCCCGGGCCAGGGATTTAGCTCAGTGGTCCCAGCGCCTGCTGCACAAGCACAAGGTCCCAAGTTCGATCCCCGGTACCAAAACAAATTTAAAAATAAACTACCACCCCAACCACACAGCGCATCATGAAAAACTAGGCAAAAAAAAAAAAAAAAAAAGTAATGGCAATTACGTTATTACTTTATGATGATTTAGAATAGTGGTGCACTCTATAAGTCTGATATGAATAAACATTCTTAGTTTCATTTTATGTTAGAAGGGCAACAGCGTGAAGATTCTCAACACTGGGTCAAATTAGAATAGCACCCAAACCTGATTTCGTTCCCAGGCAGAGGTGTTATTAGAGGCCTCTCACAAGACTTTATTTTTAAACCAACAGCCAACACTGCTGGCAACTTGTTTAAAGGTAGGGCCAGCTTCCCAAAAAGTGACCAAGGTTTGTGAACTTTATCCTTTAGAGTAAGCATTTTTATGAGATTATTCTTAATTTTTGCCTCTCTTTATTTCAGGTAACTGCTGGTGTCCCTCTGAAAAAAGAATACACAGAAGAGGTGAGAGGGCTTATTTAGATGTTTATGTGAAGAATCATTCAAATCCACTTTATCACTGGGTTCCAGTTGACAGTCATTGAATGTACCTTCCACCGGTGGCCTTTAGAAATATGCTTTTCAAGCCAGTTGTGGTGGCGTATCCTGTAATCTCCGAGCTCTGGGATTCGGGGGCAGAAAGATCTCAAGTTCAAGCCCAGCCTTGGCAAGACTGTTTCAAAATTCAAAACTATAAAAGGGCTGGGAATGCAGCTCGGCTCCGAGGCCCTGGGGTCAGTCCCCTGTATTAAAAAGAAAAAGAAATGGGTTTTTCTAAAAATCCAAGAGAAAATAGGTGGGTAAAGGGATAAAAAACATTCCATTAACTCTCAGATCTCAAGAAAAGATTGATATAGGCGAATCTGCAGTTCTCTACTCCCAGGACATCCATATAAGCCATCAAAATGAAGGTCTCTGGGACAGAAGTAAATGTGCAACTTATACCCATGTCTTTTGTAGTAGAAAAAATTGGCTTTTGGAAGATAGGCAGTTGGCTTTGTGACATCTGTAATGACTAATTTTCTGGTAGCAATAACTCTTAGTTCCTACAGGTGGCGCCAGGGATTTAGCCCGGGAGTAACTGCACAGGGCTCCTCGCCATCCTGGGACCTTGCACCTTTTGTCCACAAGCCTGCATTGTGGGCACATTGCTCATGTCCTGGCAGCCAGTCTTCAGCAGAAACTGTTGCCAAGATCATGACCCAAATATGTCATTGGACCCAGTATAATTTTAGAAATTATTGTGAAAATGAGCCTCCTCCTTTTGCAACCATCTTTCTTAGAGGCAGGAAATGACTTTGAGTCTTCTTTAAAAGCTTCTAGGACAATAAAGTGAAGGACAGTGTAGGCACAACCTGCTGATGTGGTGAGGCAGGTTTAGTCTGGCAGGTTGGGGTGGATGGCACAACATGGGGTCTGGTTTCTCTACAGAACATCCAGCTGGTGGCAGACGGCTGCTGTAACCTGCAGAAGCAAATCCAGATCGCTCAGCTCTTTGGGGTGCCTGTGGTGGTAGCGCTGAATGTCTTCAAGTGAGTCCTCCTGCTTGAAGGGTAGTCACCTCGCAGGGCAACCTATGAGCAACACTTGTGTCTGAGGGTCTTTGGTCATTCTCTGATTCATCTAAAAGTACACAGAAGTAGGGCTGGGCATTTAGCTCAGTGGTGCCGCCACCTGCCTCACAAATGCAAGGTCCTGAGTTCGATCCCTGGTACCAAAAAAAAAAAAGAAAAGTACACAGAAGTACTCAGCTCTTTCCATTTGTTTGGTCTGGTTTCATTTTCACAAATGTGTTCCCAAATGTTGTTAGCAAAATGAAATTTATATAGTGAATTACCACTTCCCGGGCTTTTTTTTTTTTTGCAATTCCACTGAGCATTTCTGTCTGAAAGACTCTGAATGATCAAAGGGAGATGTTATGGAACTTTCTCGATAAAAACCTTTAACAACTTGAAATATTTGAGTCATGTTGGGGGGTTGTTTTTCCCCCATGCTTTTCTTTAAGTCTGATTTATTTAAACATGATGTGACCACTTTTGATGTTTAAAATACATTCAGTGTTAGGGAGCGAGGTTCTGTGTAAACGGTTAGTCTTTCTGTAAAAACATCCCTAAGTGAACACAGATGCAAAACCACAAACATTTTCATCACCAGGACCGACACCCGCGCCGAGATTGACTTGGTGTGCGAGCTGGCGAAGCGCGCTGGTGCCTTTGACGCAGTCCCCTGCCATCACTGGTCGGTTGGTGGAAAAGGGTCGGTGGACTTGGCAAGGGCTGTGAGAGAAGCTGCGAATAAAAGAAGCCGTTTCCGGTTCCTGTACGACATCCAGGTGAGGTACATCTGAGACAGCTGTGTGCCTGGAGGCTCTCACGTCACATACCAGGCCAGTGCTAAGAGCTTTATTTACAGGGGGGCATCAAGAAGTTACCCTCACAGTCCTGCCCTGAAGGAAGATGAAGATCAAAGATGTTCAGTCACCTGCCAGGTCCTGGTGCCCAGGGAGACCTCAGCCCTGGCCCCGAGCCTGTGCTCTTGGAGACCACTCCCTGCTTCCAAATACCAGGCCCGGGGGTGGGGGGGGTGCTTCGGAGGACAGGGCTCAGTGCTGACACCTGCGGTGACATCTAGGAGCTGCTCGCACCAGTGTCACAGGCTTATGAAGTCAGGGAGGACTTGGCTTGGCCATTTCTGCTGAGCTGCTTTCCCTCCTTGCAGTTTTCTCGAGCTGCAGCTTGTGAATGCATTTTTTTTTCCACTGTGGTAAAATACACATACCATGAAATTTACCATCTTGACCATTTGTAAGTGCACAGTTCAGTGGTATTGAGTACATTCACAGTGGGGTGAAGCTGATCTCCAGAACTCTTTTCATCTTGCAAACCAGAGACTTGCTGTTTAACACTAACTCCACATTGTCCTACCCACAGCCCCACCAGCCACCATTCTGCTTTCTTTCTCTGATTTTGATTTCTTTAGATAACCCATATAAGTGAACAGCTTATTTCACTTAGCATAATGTCCATGTGTGTTTTAGCATGTGTCAAATTTTCCTTCCTTTTTAAGGCTGAATGAGATCCCCTCGTGTGTGAGTCACATTTTGCTCACTCATTCATCGACTGATAAACACTTGGTTGCTTCCTCCTCATGGCTATTGTAAACAGTACTGGGTGTTCATAGCATCTGTGCAGATATCTCTGTAAGACCCTGTTTTCATTCCTTTTGGTTACATATGCAGAAGTGGGGTTGCTAGATTTGCTAACCTAACACATCTGGATGATGAACCTTAAGCCAGAAAATCTCCATTTCCCGGGACTCATTCTTCCCCTCAAGCAATCTGTCCTGGCACCCACCTAACATTTCTGTCCCAGATTTTGTGGCCCTTCTCTGGCTAGTGACTGGTTTGTCCTTGGAGGGCATCCCTGATGCTCAGTGCTCAGTCCTCGAGCTCACGGCTGCTTCTCCTCTTCCTCCTTCAGATGTCTTGTTGGTCTGTCATTCACATTTCATAGATAGAAGCATCACCCCTTTCCTAATTGCATACATGGACAGCATAGTGAGGAGGAAGGAAAACTCATGAGGAGAATGCTTTGTGACACTGTGTGAGCTGAGAGTGAGATTCACTTGGCACCACGGGGCCACCGAAGGATGGCTCTCTCATGCCCCCCTCACAGGAACATGGTGAGTGTCCACTTCTTTAGTCCTGACATGGCTGTTGGACAAGAACTGGCCATATCTTCCCGCCCTCCAGAGAACACCTAGAGCACGAGGAGAGGAAGTGACAAGCAGCGTCCCACAGCTGGGAGGCAGAGCTGGAGGAACAGCTGGATGGTTAGTCATCTTCTGTTCTCACTCTTCAGCACACAGGACTCTGCACCAAAGTGGGGAGGAGGGCACTGACCAAGTGGCCCATCTTAGACCTAGAATGGTGGGGACGGGGATAGCACAGAATCCTTGCCGAACGAGGGACTCAGTAAAGGTTTGTGCAAGGAAGGATTTAAGGAATGATTGGGATGGTTTCAGGGAAAGGTTCATCATGTGGGGAGACCATTTGATGAGGATGGCCTCGGCTATCCTGGGCTTTAGAGGGGGTCATGATCATTACGGGAGGAGATTTGGGGTCAGCATAAAGAAAATGGTTCTGAGTGGAGGCTGCGTGCTCTCTGGCACTGAGCGTGGAATAGATGTGACATACATGGCCCCGCTGAGTGCTCACAGCCCCCTGGGTTCAGTGTGGCTAGGGCGACCCTGACTTCTGCCCCATGGTCCTGGGGAAGGTCCAGGGTGTCCACAGTGCCTAACAAAGCCCCCGCCTTCCCAACCGGCCACCTTGCTTATCCTGCCGGGAGTGCCTGGGGCCATCGCCATCTGCTCACCCACCCCAGGTGGCAAGGACGGTTTTCTGATGAGGGATCCAGTGCAGTGTGGCCCTTTTCAGGGGCAGCATCCCAGGAAAAAGAAGGTCAGCAACAGAAAAGGTTTCGGAGCTGTGCTGTCTCCCACACTCTAACCCTAAGAGGAACCCTGTTCCTTTCCATTGATCTCTGATTTTTTTCCATACATGACCATTAATCATCATCATCGTTATTATTATTATTGATTGACAGATTATAATTATATATTTATAGGGTACAAAGTGATGCTGTGATGGAATACAGTGTAAAATGATTACATCAAACTAAGCAATCCATCATCTTGAATACTGAATGTTTTATGATAACATTTGGTACTTACTCTTAATGATATGGAAATATAGTATTTGGTTATTAGCCGTACTCACAATACTGAGCAGTAGATTCTCCCAAAATAAAACTTCTTCTTCCTGGCTTTGGTGCCCTTTATCACCTCTGCATCCCCATTCTTCATGGGTATCATGAGACGGCTGCTCTCCTGGAAGGAGGGAATATTTAGTAATGTCAGAGTCCTGTAGGAGGTGAGTGGCCTCAGGACCAGGACTCTCCTCATGATAACACTGAGTTTGAACAGCAGAGTTGTGTGTTAGGAGACTGGCATCTCTGCCTGCTACAATAGGATAGTTTATGGACAGAGTGGCTGGTGCTTCTGCTCCCTTTACTGACCTGACAGCTGAGTTCCTCATCTGACAAGATTTCAGGTAATGTGAGACTGTTTGTCCCCTTGTCTTGTAGCCATATAGAAATTCAGGGGTACAGTTAGCAATGAAGCTCATCCCCTGCACTCGTTTCTTGCATTATTCAGTGTTGATAAAACTTTATAGATTTAGTTATGATTTCCCACAAGCTTTCTTTTTTTTCTTTCATTTTTTTCCCCCACAGCTAACTCTTTGGTGCTGAGCAACTAGAAGGTTGCTATACAGAGGGAATAAAAGCTATAATCTCCCTCCTACTCTGACTTTTCTGTGCAAACTAGGTTTCTGTGTACCTTTGGTGAAATAAAGTCTCTCTAGACTTTATTTCCCGTATAATGTACAGCCATCCCTTGGCACCAGGGGGATTGGTTCTAGGACTGCTCCCCCATACTAAAGTCTACAGGTGAAGTTGACTATATAAAATGGCACATTATCTGCATATGACCTACACTTCTCCCATATACCTTAAATCCTCTCTGGATCACTTATAATACCTAATACAATGTATATGCCATGTTAATAGTTGTTATACTACATCATTTATGATATAATGAAAAAGAGAAAATTTGTACATGTTCAGTATGGTCACAGTACTTTTTCCCAAATATTTTCAATCCTTGGTTGGCTGAAGTGCAAATGTGGAACCCACAGATGTAGGGGGCCACCCATTATTTAGTACTGGCTTGTGGCATCTTATTTCCTGCTCCACCATCTAGGTCTGATGTCACAGGAGGAAGACACCTCTGATCATTTGGGGGAATGTGGATTAGTGCTAGAGCACAGGGCCTGATTGCTGTTGTATGCAAAGTAGAAATTGTCCCCAAATCCCATGGAAAAGGGGACAGCAAGGGAGAGGAGAGACTCAGCCCTTGGACATACTGAGAGGCAGAACAGCAGCAAGCTCAGCTTCACAGAGACAAGCCTGCATTTAAAGCAAGAAGCAAGCTGCCCTGGTGACTTGGGAATCCCCTAGGATAATCAAAGTCCCCATTAAACGTCCCCAGAAATCAACTTCTTTTTGACATTTCCTTTTCTAAATTTACTGTTAACAGTTAAATCTTTCCTGTTAACTTAATCCCGTGTCTCCATATCTGCAAGCAGAGAGGGAGATAGTATAGCTGAAAGAAACACAAGTCTGTATTTATACTTTACCAGCAAATAATTCTTTACCCCACATTCTTACAGTTACGCCTCACCAGATCTGTCTGGGATATAGGTTCAGTTCTGAACTGTATGTGGGAGAGCGACAGACTTGCCCCGGAGCAAATGAACAGTTGATGGGAATAGTGCTACGTTATAATTGAAAGGCTAAAGCTTGGAGTCACTCAGAATTGAGTTCAAATCTTGAGAAGGTTTCTACTCTGGATGTAAGTTTGGGCAAGCTAATTAATCTGTGTAAGCCCCAGCTTCCTTGTCTGCACAGTAGTGTCCCCAAGTGAAATTCCACATCATAGTAAGCTGGCGGCCAGTGACAGCTGTTTATCCTGTCACTTCCTTTACAAAGACAGGAGCCTCCTGAATATATCTCCAACAATTCTCTTGCAACTTAAGGCAAGTTTAGCAAACTCTAGTGATGGTTTCTTTTTTTAAGTGGATTAAAACCAGGCATCAAAAGCTAGGGAGAAAAAGGCACCATCAAGCTCTAAAAACCAAGACACGTGGGGCATTTCCTTCTCAGTGAAGATGGGGAGCCATTTGTGATATCAAAAGAAATCAGTCCTGTTTGCAAAGTAGGAGTGTGGCACTGAAAAATCGACTGAAAATCCAGTCTGAATGTTGTTTGTTCCATCAGAGTGAAGGTTGAAAATCATCTCCATATCCTTCCTCTAATCTTGCAAACATTTCTTTGAGGTGTAACCTTGACAGCAAGACAGGGTAGTGTTTGTTTGGTTAAGAGGTCTTTCCTGTTGCTTGCCCAGAGTATTTCCCTTGATCGCAGTGGGGTCTGGATGAAGGCAGCGAAGCCCACCGTGAAGACAGCAGGCGCAGCCAGTTTCACTGCTGTCTGAACTGGGACTCTGTCCCTGCCCCTGGGTTTTGGGGTGGCCTTTCCCCTGCTGGTCTTTTTTAAGGCAGGGGATGTTTTGATCTGTTGGTTATTGAGAAATGACTTCATATTTCTCTAAAGAGTCAAACTTGAACATCTTGGTAGGGTTTTGTGAGTTTCCTTCTAAGTTAGACTTAAGGCATTTACAACCAAAGCCCCAAAGTTTAAGTAAATAAAA